ACCTCAGGAGCCACCTGACATGCTTCTTCCTTTATTCCTACAGCCAACAGTTAGTTCTTTTTCCTAACCTTTCTCTTATCCATCCACTTCTCTCCTTCCTCCCACTCAATGTCATTCTCTGAGTTTAGGCACCCACTACTTCTCACCTGAGCCACACCTAGGCTTGCAAACCGGCTCCTCTGCCTTCAGCATCGTCCCTGTGTCCCCTGAAGCCCCCCTCTGGCCACTCCTAATCTTTTATCCAATACACCAGTCACACCAGAACTACTTGCATGTCTCCATGTTTTCTCACCTCTACGTCTTCATGTGGTTTTTCATGTATTTTTCATCTCCATAATCCTCATGTCATTTTGCCTGGAACACTCTATCTTCTTCCTATTAATCCATTAAACTTCTCACCTCAAACATCACCTCCTCCAGGAACTTCTGATACCCTCCCCAGAGTCAGATTCCCCACCTTTATGCTGGTATCCAAATATTCCATTGTCTAAAAAAAATATTTAAAAGCACATGAAGTTCCTCTTCATCTCAAACTGAATGAGAGGCGGGGGAGGGGGATACCTTCTCATAAAAACTACAGGAAATAGACTTTCCATGATTGTAAACAGAGGTAAGTCTCTGTGTCCCCCATTCAGAATTGTGGTCCAGACTGAAGGTACCCAGTGGACACTGCTACCAGCCACATTTGCTGGACAACACCTCTGTCACCCAGACTTTCACCATGCTCCAGGCAAAAGGGACATGTTTTTTTCTTATACTGGCCTCTGGCTACTTCTTTAAGGCAAATGATCAACTGGATAAAAATACATCATTTCTATGAAGGTGCCTCCTAAAATCTGTCTCCTCATCTGCTTTTCCTACGGTTTAATGTCCACAGCTGCCTGCAGGATGCTCCTCACAGACAGGGGGACAAGACTCAAAAGTTAACACAAACCTGTTTCCTTGACTATAAAGGGATGAGCAGATGACCTCCAAGGACGCTTTCCCACTAAAATGTCATCTGAACTCATTCTCTGTCCTAAACTGGGTCACTTGTGAATCTCCCCATTTCTAGGAATAGATAAAATATGTAGAGGGCCTAGTCATAGCAGCTCACTGTCCTGTCTCTGACAATGGTACTACAAGATGGTTAAGGGGATCTCTAATGTGTGCCGCAAAATATTAGAAATACATCAATACTCTCTTCCTCCAATAATCTAAAATAAAACTTTCCACTTGTGTTAAGTTTTCCCAAACCTGTACATATCATACTACCTTTTGGAGAAAGGCATTTCCTTTCACGTCTTCTACATTTATTTCTTTGAAGCTTCAAGAGGTGCCTTTAGTTCCAGGATTTCAAGATTTGGAGAATAAGTCCATATGAATGCCACTCATACCTTCAGAAACTCATAGTCTTTATACAAGAGAAAAACAGTGCTCTTGGTGTACGGGTTTTTGGTTCCTCAGTGAAGCCCATGTTGGCCAAAATTGCTGATTTGGCAAAAGTCACCATATTGAATATTAAGTTTCTTTTGCTATGCTATAAAACCTTCTTATGCTTTTATAAAGTTGTTTATTATTAGCACATAATGGCATCTCCAAGTCTCACTGTCACTTCAATGGAAAATTCTTCCTTAAACTGACCTGCAATCTGCACCTCTCTACCTGCCACTGTTGAGAGGATGAGTTTCTGGAACATGAGATCGTTCCCATCTGACATTAATCCCAGAGTGAGCAGCCTTTACTCCTAACCCTTGTCCTGAGCCTGAGTTCACGGAGACAAATTCTGCCATACTGACTGATGGAAGCAACTGTCCAGAGGTGGGATCTCCAGATACTTCTGGAAAACAGGATGGTTCTCCCTAAAACAAACCCCAGCACCTCAAGAAGCTGTTTCCATGTGAATCCCTTCTTCCTTGGCCCTCTTCACTCTTAATACCACTGTTTTACTTAGGACTCCTTTCTCAACAATTTCAATCACAGTATGGTGTGCTAGTTAAGAGTCCAACTGCCTAGATTCAAATCTCACTTCTATGGTGTGCTAGATGTATGACCTGGGTAAACTACTGAATCTAGGTTTGCTCCCTTCATCATTAAGATGGAACTCCTGACAGTACTCCCCTCATGTAGATGTTATGAGGATTAAATGAGTTGGTAACTGGAGAGTACTTGGCACAGTGCCTGGAGCAGAGCAAGTGTTTCATAAATATTATTATTACTACTATTACAATTCTTCTTTTTCTTCTTCTTCTTCTCAACAGCTCCCTAACCAGTCTTCTGCCGCAAGGTCATCACCTTTCACCGATCTGTCTTCCAGGCTACTTCCAGGATACACTTTCAAAACATTTCTTGATTATAAAATACATATTTCATTACAGAAAGTTCAGAAAACATGTAAGGGAAAAGTCACCCACTGACCAGAGAGACAACCACTATTGACATATTTCCTTCCAGTCTTTTCCTTCCTTCCCCTCCCCATTTCTTTCTTTCCTTTCCTCTCCTTTCCTTCCCTTCCTTCCTTTCTTTCTTCCTTCCTTTCCTTCTGTAACATAGCTGAGATGATCATTTATGTACTGCTGTGTCTACTGTCTCCCACTAAGCAAGTCCCCGTAAGTTAACATTTAACCACACGAGGTAGGGTCAGCTCGAATTCTCTGTTTAGGACTGGACACAGAGAAAACACAAACTGGAGCAATAAAGGACTGGCCCTTCCCTGGCTGAGGCCACAACAGAGGCCAGCATCCCTGCTGCCGGGTTTGTGCGACGCCCACACTCCCCTGCCCGCTCCTCTCCTCGCTAGTTCTCTCCGGGGGAATGCAGAGCGCAGAGGGCCCCGGGCTGCCGGCCTCACCCCTGCCCGCTGACCCCTGCTGCCACAAAGATGGTGCGCGTGCTCTTGGGGTTCACTGCTGTTTCAACACCCAGCTTGGAACAAGAGTTTCCAAAAGAAAACATTGCCCTTGGTAATGACAACCAGGCCTGGGGGTTCAGAACACTCTTACTGTCCAGCCACATCCGCGTGACCACACAGGCACCCGGCTGACGCCTGCCGGAGGACCGACTGAGTATCTTGTGGCTTCAGTTGCCGCTTGGAATGCACTGCAAGGTCCTTCAGAGATGAGCCATGTCTCCTAATTTTTATCCTTTACAGTACTTAATACAGAGCTGGTAATAATAAATGATTGATGAATAAAGTAATAGCCAACACTTTTCTTCCTTTTTAATACGTATGTTTTTATTTCTTTCTCTTGCCTTACTGCACTCGATACGCGTCGGGATTGCCAGCACTCTTGGAGTGCTTACTATGTGCCAGACACCAGTCTAAGGGCTGTACCCGTGCTAGCTAATTTATTCCCTCCAACAGCCCTGGTGAGGGGATGTCGTTATCATTTTCATTTTATGCATGAGGAAGTGATGGAATTAGAATTCAAATTTTAAAAAAACTAGTTTGATCAAACATCACCTCCAAATAATTGAATTCAACAACTAAAATATTTAGTAAGGACCAACTATGGCCTAAGCACTATGTAAGGTTAGGTCTTACACTGCAGGGGGAGAAATACCTGACAGTGTACTAAACACAAGGCAGGTGGGACAGATTCATACTAATGCAAGGAGGGAAAGGGGCAAAGGGAAGGGCCCACTTCCTATGATCGAAACAAGCCTCTCCAAAATGCCGAGAAATAAGGAGGCCCTCAAAGTCACCTCATTGTTAAGATCCAGGAATGAACAGGGTTAGCTCTCAAAGGGAACCACGATCCCAGAACACGTCTGGGAGCATTTGACAGGACCCTGCACCTCTGTTCACCCCCAGACAGAAACACCGGGGCCAACATTTCCTTGTTCCCCAAGTGATTCCTTGTCTGGGGTAGCTGGAGTGGGCGGGACAGCCCAGCTCCTCCTTCCTGACAAGGACGCAGCCTCCCAACAAATCACACCATTGACCCGATATTAATTTATTTTAACAAGCAGAGAACACAGATTTTTTGTAAGGCCTGGTTTGTGTATCCTAAAATCGCAAGAATTTCAACATGCTCCTCACTAGCATCAATGTGCTTTTTGAGCATCACGTGATGAAACACGTCTTTAATGGAACACACCATACACAGCAGAGAGCCACAGCCCTAGAGGAGACACCTGGGGCTTCCCAACGCTTCAGTGACCTCCCACGACGGGAGCCCCCCGGAGCAGTCCTCACAGGCTTGGCCCTGATTATTCACAGGAAGGCAAGACTCCTTGCTCTCTTACCCACAGCCTCAACCACAGCCCGGATGCCCACTGTGTCCAAGCCCACAACTCAGAGCTCTGGGCTCTCGGCCCGTCCTCGGGGAGCAGCACCACCCAGGCAGAGACCCCAGGCTGTCTGTACCCCACAGGCCCTCCCCCCAGGAGGTCCCTCCGCCGGCCTGCTCTCTCAGTCAGGCTGCGCTCCTTCTTGCCTGGCTCATGACACCTTTCTTACAGGTTTCCCCACCACCAGCCAGAAAAGTCTTTCAGAAGCACAAGGGGACAGATCACTCCTTGCTTTACCACTCTGAGAAGCTCACTTATACCGATAAGATCAAGTCAAACTCTTGACCCCAACTTGTTGGGCCCCTGCAAGATCTGGCCCCCACCTGCCCCCCAGGCCACCTTGGATTCATACCCACATGCACTCTGCCCCTTGTGCTCCCCCTAGACCAAGAGCAGTCCAAATAAGCCCCGCCCTCTCACAGCCACCCAGCTCAGGCCTCAACACCAGCACCACCTCGCACAGGCAGGCCTCCAGGAGGCCTTCGCATCCCTGTGTGTGACAAAGCACCAGCGCCTCCCTCCACCGACGTGCTACACACCACGTAGCTTCACTATCTGCTTCCTTTGCGGGGCTCTTCCACTAGCTTGTGAGCTCTTTTCAGTGTCCCCAGGCCCCGGGGGGGTGGGGGGGTGGTTGGCACACAGTAAATGTTTCCCAGACAGGAGACTGAGCCTAGACACCTAAGCCCACCAGACCTCCGCTTTTCCCGACCCCTGGGCGGACTTACCAACACAATCGCAGGTGGGGAACTCGGCCTGGGCTCTCTTTGCAGGTGTGTCCAGCAGACTCTTGGTGGGTGTGTCCAGGTACTTAAGAGGTGACTCCAGGAAGCCACTGAGGGTGGGTGTGAGGGGGTTCTCGGCCTTGGTGGGTGTGGCCTCCTGGCCCCCCTCCTCTGAATGGAAGCAGGTGGTTGAGAGCACAGTCACAGCCCCCGAAGACTCAATCTTGATTTGCTTGGGGGAGCGGGTAGAAAAAGGGCTCTCGGGGGCTGGGAGACACGTTGGCTGGTTCTCGGGGTCCTGAATGGGCACAGATGGGGGGCCAGGAAGCCCAAAGCTATCCCCAAATTCAGCTTCAAACTGCCGGATGAGCTCTTCCAGCTTGTCATCGGCAGGGGGAAGAGGGCCGGCGGAGCCCGGCTGCAGGGTCGCCATGGGGCTAGGGGATCTCATTTCCTGAGTAGGGGGCAGCAGGCTGTCCCCAGAGGGACTAGGTGCAAATAGCGCAAGAGAAGGTTCTGGGGGCGGGGGGACAGCAGAGCCCTGTGAGGCGGGGACAGGGGCAGGTGGATGTGCCTGTGAATCCTCAGAGGCTGGGGACCTCCGCCCTTCCAGGACAATCTGCCGCAGAGGTGGGAAGAGAGGCTGCGTTTCCCGTGGCCTGGACTTCTTGATCTGAATGGGCTTCCGGATGCTGGGCTTGATCCCAGGGGCGGCCTTCTCGGTTCCCGCGGGACCTCCAGCTGGTGTCAGGGGCTTCTTCTTCTTCTCCTTGGGTGGTCTGTCCAGAGGCCGTGGGGCAGGTGAGCTTGGTGGGGCCCACCAGCCCGGAGCAGGAGGCTCCGTGGGAGCGGGGAAGGAGGCATCGTGGGCCTGGTCCAGGAAGAGACTGCGCTTATGGTGAAGGTGCTGCTGCAGGGCGGTCTGGGCCTTCTGGTGGGCGTCGGGCTCTGCGGATGGTGCGGGAGCCTCCCTCTGGAGCATGGGGGATGGGGACGGGGCTGGGGAGGAAGAGGACACCTCCACCTTGACCTTGGGCTTGGTGGGCAGGGCCTCGGGCCGCTTGAATACTGACTGGATGTAATCACTGGCGCTGCCCAACAGCTGCTCCAGTTCAGCCATGGGGTCAGGGCTCGGGCGGGGCATGGGCCAAGAGCTCCGGGGAGTTGCTGGTGGGGTGTCAGTGCCCCAGGCTTCAGGAAACTCTGTTCTAGGAGTTGCTGGCGGGAAGGCAGGGCCGTCAGGAGCAAAGGACGCGTGCTCTTCAGCCGGGACCACAGGCCACGAAGGGGCCCGGAGGTAGGACTGGGCAGACCGGAAAGGGGCAGGAGGGGACAAGGCCTCCGGGAGGGGGCAAGAAGCCTGGGAGGTGGAGTGGGAAGGCTGAGGGAGGGCAGAGGAGAGCTGTGTGAGGGCCTCGATGGCGATGGCCGTCTGCAGGCTGATGTTCTTTTCCTTGGCGATGCTCAGGGCACTCTGGGACAGGGGCAGGCCCTCGGGGGGAGGTATCTGGGGGACCTCAGAGCTGAGGATTGGCCGGGTGCTTGGCGCTGGGAGGCCAGCCTCAGCAGAAGGCAGAGTCCCTGGGAGCCTGGGCCGCTCCTCCCCGCCGTCCACGACCACAGACTTGATCTTCCCCTCCAGCCACTCGAGGTAGTCAGGGCACTCCGGGCCATCGCAGTTGCAGTTGGGTGGCTTCATGCCATGCCGAGCGAGGGCCAGGGCCGTCTGCAGCGTGTCCAGGTCTTCGCTGCCAGCAGAGCAGCCCTCGGGCCCTGACCGGGCTCCCCTGCTGTTGTTCCCAGCCTCGCGACTCATCTCACGGTTGAAGGTTTCATAGAGCCGGGTGCTAAGGGCCCCATAGGAGGACACGGCTTCGGCCACAGCCGAAAAGGCCACCAGATCGTGGGCATCTTCCAGGCGAGCAGTGTGAGCTGGGCCCGGGGCACCGTCCCAGTCGGGCTTCTGGTCTATTCGCCAAGGACCCCCAGCCCCCAGCACACTGGGTCCAGCGGGTTCTCTAGCACCATTGACCGGCGCCCCTGAGGCGCTTAGCTGCCGTGAGTCCCCATGGTACACTGGCCCTGAGTCCATCTGACCTGGAACAGGTCCATCAACTGGGCTGAGCTCTGAGCCTGTCTGAAGAAGGAAAGAGAGAAAAAAGGAAAAAGATGAGCCATGATAGTAGAAAAGCACTGTCCTGCTTCACACCATGCAGATGCATACCTAAACCCTGCATTTCTTGCACACTCTGTCCCTGACACAGCTCGAACCTGAACTCATCTTCAACTTCAGGTCTCCTTGCCCAGCTAGCTGCACCAACAGAAAGGAAAGGCAGATCATTAAGAGGTCCTAATCCAGAATTCTGAATGTTACTCAGATCCTTTTAGAGCCTAAGATCGATCATACGGACGAGGTTCCCCAGACACCAAGCATTTATTAAGGACTCACAAAAAGATCTTTAACTCGCAATGACCAAAGTGACACCGGGACCATGCTGATTTCGGTGTTTGTCGGGAGAGAGCTAACCAAACACCCCAAGAAGCAATATGCCGTTAAGTGTGTGGTATATGTGGAGGGGGCGAGCAGCTTTGAGGGACAAACGCAGCCTGGACCAGAGGTCAGCCAGAGCTTTTCAGTGGGAAGGAACCCACAGTTTTTTTCTCTTGTCTGTTACTGTCCTCAGTTAAGCCCTGGCCGAGCTCCAAGAGCTGGTGACAAGATGACATTCCCACTCCCAGCCCCAGCCAGGCTGGAGAGAAACACTGATGATCGGACACCACGTGCGTGCAGCCCCGTGCCGAGCCATTCATGCCAGTGACAAGCAAGCTGCTAGTCGGACCAAGATCCAGGCCTCTTCTCAAGCCCAAGAACCACTACTATACACCTGATGTCCAGCAAAGCACACAGACGGGGGAGCACAAAAAAAGGAAGGAGCCAGCAGGTCCAGCCCAGCAAGTTAAAAACTAATCTGAAGATGCGAAATTCAGTTTGCAGAATTCATCCCTCTAGAAAGGAAAGCTCTTCCTTACAGTAGAATGCCAACAACAAAAATACAGAAGGGACTACAGATTTGGAAAGTCATCGGTGGATATGCCACAACTAGCAGGTGAAAGCTGGTTACCCGGTCTCAAAATATCTCCTTGAAAATCACCGAGTTACAACATTAAAGAGAAATCTGGTAGATACCACCTGAACCAAATGATCAGAATACTCATCATCACCAATATTGTGACCAACATCATGAGACTCTTGATATGATACACTGAGAAGGATAGAACATCACTCACACAGAACTCTAGCCAAAATGTACAAACCAAATCTAATTATGAGGAAACATCAGATAAACCCAAACTGGAGGGCATGCTAGAAAGCACCTGGATTGTTGTCTTCAAAAATTTCAAAGACAAGAAAGACAAACATCTCTGCAAACATCTTGGGCTTCCTGAGACAAGACAGAGAAATGCATGTTCATGCGTTAGATCACGGACTGGGGACAAGAGCTGGAAGGTACACACACCATGGGGACGTCTGATGCAATTTGAATACGGACGGGGATAAGATCACACTGTGTCAACCTCAGTCTTCTTGGCTTGAATCATTTTACTCTGATTATGTAAAAGAATGTCTTTGTCCTCAGGACACACATACACACACACTGAAGTATTCAGGATAAAGGAACACAGTATCTCTACCTTAACCTCAAGTGGTTCAGAAAAATATGATATGCATATAAAAATATACATAGAGAAAATGATAAAGCAAATAAAGCAAAATGTGAACAATTTTAGTATGTGGGAGTCCCAGGTACTCTTTTTGCAACTTTTCTGTAAGGTGTAGCATAAAGTGGATTAAACAAATGGTTAAATTGATACTAATCCCCAGACTGTGGAAGGTGCCCATCATGCATGGGCTTCAAAGTAGCGGTGGGAAGGTGGGATTTGGGATCAGCGAGGTGGAAGATGAGCAGAGACCCCAGCCTAGGGTTCCCACCTCATCTTCATCGCTGCCCATTTCTGGCCACAAAGGACCCTCGTGCTTTTCCAACATGCTTTTCTGAGCTTTGCACATGCAGTACTCACTGCCTGGAATGCCCTTCCCAGCCTCTGTGGGGCCACCTTGGCTTATCCTTCAAGCACCAGCTCAATGGCACCTCCTCCCTGACCCGGCTGGCAGACTGCCCTGTGGCTCCTGTCCCCTGGGCTCCCACAGCACCTTGTGCATGCCTTAGCAGCACTTTTCACAGGCCCCTGCTATCATTCAAGCAGCTGCCTCCCCGACCAGATGGGAGCTCCTTCAAGACAAGGTCCGCATCTTAACCACTTCCGTGTCTCCTGCCCACACCTGCTGCACGAACACTCTCTCAGCCCGGTGAAAGGCCTCCCCATCCCCCACTGGCCATGGACGAGGCGGCCTTTCCCTGACCGTCTCTCCAAACGTGGAACTAGGAACGAAACCTTTCCTCTAGGAATGTGCTTGATCACCCAGTCGTCCCTTCCTTCCTTCTCAGAAACCTAAACCACGGTGACAGCAAAGGCAACGAAGTCTGAAGTGGCCAAATTTTACATGCTTATGTGTAAAAGACAGAAGGAGCATGCATAACCCCGAAGAAACATGAGGGAGTAGCGTGGATTTACAAAAACAGTGTCAGGAAGACTAATGCTGTGGGAGCTGAGGCTTCCCCAAAATGGTCAAGACAACTAAAAGGATTTAAAAAGTTATTTTTGGTTTGTGAACAAGAACAAGGAAGGGCTAGGCTGGCGCTTGGGCCTCTGAGTTCCCTGGGAAAGAAAATGCTCTTTAGACCAAAAAGAGAAGAAAGGGAAGAGTGGACACAAAAACGAGGGAAGTGAAGCCAGCATGGGCGGGAGGAGATTTTAAGAAATGCTAAATTCCAGTTTCTCGGCCAGGGGATCCCACTGATGCATTCCCCAACACGTGCCGGGGATCCTGGAAGAAACACACCATCCAGAGAAGGTGCCACCAGCAAGAAAAGAGCAAGCATCGTTCCCGACTCTGGTGCACCAAGCAAGACCAGCCCCAGTAAGATTCCTGAGAGGGTAACTAAGGGAACCACAAGGAGCCAGGTTCAACAAAGGCCATCAACCCATCAACATCCAACTAACCTCACTGTTTTGTGTCGTATGGTCATTGGACCAGGAGACTGGGAGACATCCTGTCTGATAGATCACAAACTCAAGGGCTGTAAGCCAAATCAGCCACAGATCTGTTTTGTTTGGCCTACATAGTGTTAGATTCTTGTTTGTCTTGCCAATATTAAAAAATCAAATTCTACATGAAACCGAGATTGTCTTGAAGGTCCACACTTCTACCTGGCTGACATGCCGTGGCTACCGCTCGGGGCCACCCCCAGCCTCACCATTCCATGCTTTCTTGACACCAAGGCCAGGGGTCAGAGATTAATTATTAATTGCCTGAATTAGTTATCACTTCATTCATTTGTGTCACTTGCCAAGCCCTTGTAGGCATTTGCATTTGCGACTTGGGCTATGGATGTTTACGTTTCCTAAGGCCTGCTATGACCCCTTTGAGGGCCAGCAGTAGAGAATTACAGGCCAGACAGGCTGGCTCACCACTGGCGGAATGACCATGTTCAAACTCAAGTGGTGTAGCAATCCAGGTGTGGGGAAGGGAGGAGCCTTTTTTTTTAAACGAGTTTTTTATTTATTCATTTGAGACAGAGAGAGAGAGAGAGCAGGAGCAGTGCGGAGAGGCAGTGGAAGAGGGAGCAGCAGACTCCTTGCTGAGGAGGGAGCCCAACATGGGGCTCGATCCCAAGACCTGGAGATCATGACCTGAGCCGAAAGCAGACGCTTAACCATCTGAGCCACCCAGGTGCCCCCGGGGGTGGGGGGAGGTCTTTAGTGGTCTGCCATAGGGCTCTGTCCTCAGAACTGTCCTGTTATTATTTACAATAATGATAGACAAGGCACACTTATTAAATAGGCAGATGGTGAAAATAAGAGGGATAAAGCCATGTTGAATGAAAGGACCAGGTGCCAAAAGGTCAAGAGCTGGAGAGAAAAAAATCTAACAGGATAAATAGGGTCTTATACTTAGTCCCCAAACCATATATGTGCAAATCAAAGATGGCTGTAGTACACATAAAAATGTCTTAGGGATCAGGAGAGGTGAAAGACTAGCTGATGATACACACAATATGATGATCTGGCAGCTTCAAAGGGTCCTATAACCCAGGGTTTTTTGCAACTTCTTTACTATAATCCACAGTAAGAAATATATCTTACAACATGATCCGTTATGTATTTATATATATGACAAGTTGGCAAAATACGATTTCCCCTTACTAGATACACAAATCCCTCTCTCCCTCTGTTTCTTGTAGGTTGCAACTTTGTAAGTTGATTTCATAGTCCACTAACGGGTCCCAAGCCATAGCTGGACACACACACAGCCATGACCTGACCGGAACAGGACCTGTAGCACAGGCACCGACGGCAGGCAGCGACAGCCCCTCTCTGCCCAGACAGACCATACCTGAACCCGGGCTTCCCTTGGGGCTGCCCCTGAGGGGACACAGAGCAAGCAAGACAGTGCAAAACCATAGAGGAACAGGTCCCTTTAGGTTCCGAAGAAGACAAAATTCGTGAAAGTCTTTACACAACTGAAGTCTGTCAGTCTGGCACAGAATTAGACCCGTTTTGAGGGATGGAATTGGAAAATGGGTAAAGCTTTGGAGAGGTACACATGGGCTCAATTTAGGGAAGACTTTTAACACTTAGACATGCTAACGCGCTGACCCTTATCCCCCTAACAAGCAGGAGGCAGCAAGTTCTTAGGAAAGAGACTTTGAAAAAGGAACAAGGCAGTTATCAGGTGATTACTGGCAATGCTAGAGGATGGGGCTAGTTGAGGGAGGCCCTTTCAAAGTCTCAGTTCAGAAATGCCCCAGCTCTAAACCCCTCCACGCCATCTCCCTCAATCCTCGATCCCCTCTGGGCTCCAGCAAATGCCACTCCAAGGATGTTCCCCAATGTTTGCATTTTGTCTGGACCTCTCAGCTGACCTCCAGCTAGCTCTAACCCCTGGGACATGCTACAAGCCCACTGAGGAGCAGCTTGTCTCAAACAGAACTGAACTCCCCTCCCCATTTGCAA